AAAAAAAACATATATATATACATAAGCAAGAAAGTAGAAATGGAATATTATTAATGATAACATGCTTGATTAGGTCACTATGCAGTCTATTCTAGATGGGAAATTACATTTAGTATGTTGTGATGATGCTCAGGGAATGAATGTTACGGGAAAAAAACGAAAACAAAAAACAAACAAAAAAAAACGGTTAAACTATTCGTACCATTTAAAAAAAAAAATTGGATATTTGATGGCTGCAGTGAGCGGTATGGGCCCAGTTGGGTTCTACTTTATAGTATGCTCTTTTTACCCAATGGGGTTTAGGCCTAAAGTCAGACTTGAGTTCATGTAGAGGCATGTGTCAGCTGTGATAACTATTGGAGAGACTTAGACTAATTAAGATCACTGACAGATCATTTGGGGAGGGGTGAGGCACGGAGGGCAATCGGGGATGACAGGGACAATGTGGGAGGAGGATGGGTCATAACAGAGGGAGGGGGATGGGGAATCTAGGATGGTAAAACAAAAGGCAAGGTATGCAGGACACAAGAATTGGGAAATTATTTGCTGAGAACATATATGTTGACGTGCTTGATTGAGCCAATGCACAGTGTATTTTGGATGGAGATTCATTTGTGTGTTGTGATGGGAAAAAAATTATAATAAAAAATAAACTATAAAAAAAATCGAGAAGAGGATAGAGAAAGATAGCAAGTGAACAATAGAGAGGATGTTAGTGAGAAACAGATATGGTTTATTATCTGTTGATGATGACGTGTATAGTATTCTCAACTGGACTGGTCTGGGAAGTATTTCATGATGGGTGAAGTCTTCTAACAAGCAAAATGAGAAATAGTGATTGACTGTTTTAAAAAATTATAATAATGATAATTATTGGGAAATGCATGGAAAAGACATTGAATGATAAAGCGGGGAGACTGATGTCTCTGTATTGACTGACATGCATGGCATTCCCTTTTGAAAAAGCAATGGAAGTCAATGTAAAGTTATATGTAATCCAATGTAATATAAAGAAGATTATGATGATAATATAAATAAAAAAAAAATGGCCTGCAAATGCCATTTGGTCAAGCACCTCCAAGGTCCTAGAAAAGAGTTCTATGCTTTGTTGGGTTCACTTTATACGATTCTGGGGTTTCCTGAACCCAGCAATCAAGAAAAAGTCCAAGAGCTGAAGCTGATAATATGTTAAAGGTTTTTTCCTCCCCTCATCTCTGAATTGGGCTAACTGAATACATCTGAGTGCGGCATCATGGCTAAAGATACCACAGGCTTTCCAGCTCCTCTCCACTTCCTGTTGCCGGTCTCAGGGCAAGATCTAGCATAATGAAGTCCTCTGTGGTGTTTCTGGGGCTGCTGCTTCTGCTTGTTTTTGTAACCTGGATGTGTTCTGGGCAAGAGCCAGGTATAAGAGTCGGCTTTGACTGCCATGCTTTGGAGGGGTGGTTTCTCAATCACCATGCTTTACGGGGGTTTTGGTTGCTAGACTTTGCCTGCCCAAGTTAGTAACGCAATAGTTCTCATTGGTCCCATGCTTTCTCTCTCCCTTGAGCCTAGCTAATGCTGTTGAATGAGTGAAGGAGTGCCGTACTTGGTTGCCATTATTTTTATAAGGCTTTTCAGAGTCAGTCTCTCTTCCTCTCCCACTTCTTTCTTTGTGCCAGCTACTGGGATTTCCTTCCCCTTAGTCATCCATGAGACACATGCTGCTGTGTGGCACATGCCAGGCTGAAATGTTAAAACAGGATCTATTTCCAAAGAGCTCAGATTTCACAAAGACCCCAGATATTAGGGAACTTAGTGCCTGGTATGAGTGCCCTAATAACAACAGACCTCTGCTCACCAAAGAGGCTCAAGGACATGACCGCTGTGGTTCTTTCTCAGGTAAACATTCTGGGTTCAATGCAAGTTATTCTGGCCATTTGGGGGGTTTCAGGGAAGAAATAGACTTTCTGAGACAGAAAAAAAAAAAAAAAAAGAAGTAGTACTATAAAGTGAATCTTTCTATGAAAATCTCTGAACTCCTTTTAGCTAAAGATGATCTTCTCTCCCAAGACTTAATCCTGCTCAGAATTTTTTTGAGCTGTTCGTTAAACAGAATTGTTAACTGGTTTGCTTTTTCCTCTTTTAACAGTGTTGGTGGAATGCAACCGTTTTAATTTCCGTGCTATAGTTAAAAGAGCACTGTTTTATACCGACGAATTGGTAGGTCCTGATGAGTTATTTCTAGGGACTGGCTGTCAGGCAATTCACGTGCGACTAGATGAAATGGAGTTTGACTATCCTGTTACTCTCTGTGGCATTGAAACACAGGTAAGAGAAACAACCACTTTACCTATCATCATCTACGAAGTCTTCGAAAGTGTTGCCTTATATTGGTTCTTTTATATTATAAATATAATATGAAAGAACTTCATAATCTATCATTATATTGTAATATTATACAGAAGTTATACATATAATATAGAACACTAGAAGCATATATGTTATACATATTTATATACTATACATATAGATGCCATAAATGATATGGAAGCCTAGGAACTAAACCTAAAGAATCAAACCTTCTCTTCATTTTTATTCATTCACCAGAGATCTACTATGTGTAGTATACTGAAAGTAAATAAATTCAAAGTCCTTTCTCTCAAGAAGCTTACAGTCTATCTGGACAAAGCACTCACTACTTGTACAGCATGATATAGTATCCAGCATTTTCACACACTTTCTAATCTTCATGATCCTGTGAGATAAATGCCATCCATACTTATGTAGATTAAGGAATTGAGGCACAAAGCCACAATGTAAATTTAGAAAGTTAGTATATAGCTGAGCCAGGGAGAGAAACCAGATTTGCTGATGCATATTCTAAGTCTTTTGTTTTGTTTTTCAATTATGACTCTGGAATAAGTGGGATAGAATGTATAACAATGATAAAAAAAAAATCACCAGAAGAATTCAGGGAAAAGGACCGTCTAGGAGGATCTTGAACCACAAATAGACCTTGTTCTTCTCTATCTCACAAAGATAACTGAAAATATACCCATAGTATATCAATGTCAGAGTAAGAAAAGCTTGAGAAGATTATGATATAGGAAGTCTCCACCACACCAAAGGTAAGTATAATATATCCAATTCACCTTGTCTGTATTTACACTTCTTAAACATGGGGCTAAATATGTCCTGCCAGGATCCTGGCCCTCAACTTACAAGCAAGGAATAATTTGGACATAGTGCTATGGACATATTTCAATGGATCCTCTTCACCGACCCATAAGTATCATGGTCTGAGAGCGCAGTTTATGCTTGTCCAGCACATACTACTACACTGGTCCTGTGTCCACCCCAGCAAGGTGCTAGAGACTCAGGTATCCTTTACTACATCTACCATGAGGAAATCTAAAGGCATTTTGAGACATGTGTAGTCATTGAAAGCAGCCACTCCTAGAGCCCTTGGCAACAGCATAAACCAGTAATGATCAAGCAGGGGTGATTTTGCCCCCAAGAGGACATTGGCAAAACTTGAAGACAATTTAGTGGTCACAACTGGAGTGGAGGGATGATACTGGCATCTAGTAAGTAAAGGACAGAGAGGTTGCCCAACATCCTACTTGGTAAGGACAGTCCCTCACAACCAAGAATTATCTGACCTAAAATGTCAATAGTATCCAACTTGAGAAACCCTTGTCTAGATCATCACACTCACCTTCTCTCCTATCTTGGAGTTCTAAAAAGCCTAAGGAGCGCTAGAATCAATACAATTAAATGAGCTTAAAATCATTACAACTAAAAAAGCCTACACACTGAATTTCATTGCTAGACAATCCAGATGAGGGATTTTGTATGTTTTTAATTGTCTTTGTTTTGTCTTACCGCTTTTGAATAATTGAATGAGATAAATCACTGAGACCTCAGAAAACAAATGATTCATACATTTTTTTTTCTAGAGGTTTTCGGTATAGGGCACGTGCACTTGCCAGACACAGAGAGAGAGACATAGAGACAGAAAGCGAGAAATCACCCCCCAGGGGGAATGGTCATGCCGCAATCCCTTCTCCTCCATTCTCCTCTCGGGATCTTGGGCATGCACGCACACGCTCCTGGCGTGAGTTTTAAGCCACTGGGTCCAGGACACGAACTGCGGTCGACTACATGGGAGTACAACGACATAGCCATTATGCTAACTGCTGGTTCCTATGATTCATACATTTTAAAGGATATTATGCAGCTTATAATTTATATAACCATGGAAGGACAGTGGAACCTTCCTATTAAAGTAGGAATAAAGTATACATTCATAAGATGAGGGGTCTTCAAAAAGTTCATGAAAATATATGTTATGAAAAGATTATATATAGATTTCAAAAAACTTTGTACCAAACTGAACTCATACTTTAATTACATATTTCTACAAACTTTCTGACATTCTCTCATAAGTAGTATGACCTAAATTATATAAACAGTGGAAGACCAGGATAGAAATACATGCAAATAATTCCAGAATTGAATCCAGAATGATATGCTCATAAAAATTGTATCTTGTTTGTTGAACACCAAACATATTTTAAATGTTCTCTATAGGAAGTATATTTTTTATGTTCAGGAAACTCAATTGATTAAATTGTCTTCTTTTTGTTCTAATGTTTTAGAGTTCTGGAAACCAAAAGTACAGAGAAAATACGTTTTAATTCAGAGTTATCATATAAAGTTATTTCAAAACTTTATGACAATCTCTTATCTTTTAAATCTTCTCCTTATAAAGCAATTCTTCTCTAGTAAGCTATGAAATTTTTTCTTTTCTAGAATGTTTGAGGAGGCTAACTTAAAACCTTTAGGATCAACTGAACCTCAGTTGTAAATTCTATTCAAAACTCATATGCCATGTGTTTTTTATTCTGTTCTGATTAAGCTAAGTGCCTGTGTTTTGCCGAAGAGAACTTTAGTCACTTCAATTAGGATAAATATCTTGATCTCTAGAAATAGTAAAGGACTAGATTTTAATTCAAACATTAAAATATGGTGTGACAAATGAGCATGCATTTCAAAGGTCTCTTTTCCTACCAGCTTTTCTATGATGGATTTGTCATTCATTCCTGGCTTACCTACACACCAAGGAATGAATCCATTTCTGCTGAACTTCGCTTGCAGTGCGTACTTCCCAGGTCAGTCCAAATTATTCATAGCTCTTTTGTTAAATGTATCCACTTACCCTGAGACTTTGAAAGTCACACTGTTTTACTATATGGCTTCTCCCACTGATAGCATGGTAGTTCGTATTATTTAATCTCTACAGCAGTCCACTACTCGGAGGTCAAACTTCAGACTAAATGAGTTACGCAACATTACAAGGCCAAGAGTGAACTTTGCCTCTTCATTCTAGAACCTTGATTCTTTGTCTTCTTGGCTATTAATTATGGGGACAGACTGGTAACCCTATTTCACAGCACCATGTGACACACAATATTTATAGAGGTTCCCTAAGTATGCAGATTGACTGGCCCTTCCACAGTTCAAGAGGTTGTGTGTTGCACAGAAGAGATTGAGTTTGGAGGTCAAATAAATAATACATTTTTCCTTTTGAATTTGAAATCAATGAAGTAATAAATCACATAGAAGATGTAGCTTATTTATAAGAAAGCCAGTTGGCAAACCAGGCTTTAGGTCACAGCTAGAAGATTCTGAACTCCACCCTGAAATGAGTTTGCTGACCCAGAGGCAAGGACAGTTGTACAATTGAAGATCTCTCCTTGAATGCTGAAAAGCCTACCCAGTAAGCAGAAAAAGAACATAGCTTTCTACAGTTTGACCCCCAAAAGCTAGTGGGATTGAATTAAATGTTGATCAGGTCTTTCTACCAAATTTACCATCAGATAATGCTTTCTTATTCCCCTGAAGATAATTAATAGAAAAGGCCTAGAGAAGATAAAATTTCCATAGTTTCCTTTCCTGGAGAATGGACTAAAACAAAACAAAAAAAATCTTCTCTGGAAAGTTAAAAAAACTTTTTTTAAGTATCCAATAACCAATTAAACAAAAAGGAAAATAAAATTCTATAGTGTAAGCAGTAAGTATAAGCTTTCTTATAAGCAAATTGAAATTAGGTAAGGAGAATGAATTAGAAAGTTTGCTAAGTGTAGATTCTGCCAGGCAACAGCTTTCAAGCAAAGTACTTCTTGACCCTTGCAAAAAACAACAGCTTCATTTATTGAAATTTTACTACATGTCAACCACAAGTTTATAAGCACATCAAGCATTTCAATCCTCATTATCAACCTTATTCATGAGTCACTGGTATTGTCCCTGTTTAATAATGGAGAAACTTGGGCACAGACACATGAAATATTCTGCCAACTTCACACAGCTGGGAAGTCCCAGATTTGATTCTGGGCCAAATCATGGCTGAAAAAGCCCCACTGTTTTACATCACTATGCCCTACTGTTCAGAGCTAGTAGTAAGCACTTATCTCATTTTCCAACCTGACTAGATCCTAAATCACATACAGTCTTTTTGAAATCAAAGTAATTAGATTGTTTAGCTCTTGGTTATCTGTTAAATAAACTTCGAGATTCTAGAAATATCTTGCCTTAGACTAATTATGCTTTTCAAGCAAAAACTACTATACGCACTGTGAATAGCTTCTTGAAATCATTTCTCTTAATCTAACAGAGAACAGTTTCTGTGTCCACCCACAATGGAGGATTTGGTGAGAGGCATAGAGGTTGAATAACTAATTATGTGTTATAGCTATTAAAGCAAAGGTTAGGAAATATCTGAGCTCCATCTTGAATGACAATTTTTTAGACTCTATATTGCTTTTTCATTCTTTTTTTTTCCCCTTTGAAAGCTCCTATGTCTCATCTGAGGAAACCCCTAGCAATACTGAAATGAACAAAACAATCGCCCTACCACCTCCTGCTCAGCACTGGTTCCTGATACAGTACAGATACTGTATGAGATGTGACTGTGCTCACTTCAGAGATAACTGGGTAAGGATGCCTTTGAGGGGTAACATTTAATGTGCCCTGTCATGTCATTTATGACTGGACAAAAAGGATTAAGGCCAAGTAAAAAAAAAAAAAATTTTTTTTTTTGGAGAGGTTTTTGCTATAAGCACATGTGCTCGCCAGAAAGACAGAGACAGAAAGAAAATGGGAAATCACCCCCTGGGGGGATGGCCACATCACAATCCCTTCTCCTCCAGGGATCTTAGGCACACATGCACACACGCCCAGCATGAGTTTAAGCTACCAGGTCCAGGACTTGAACTACAGTCGACTACATGGGAGTCCAGCGACATAGCCATTATGCTAACTGCTGGCCCCAAGGCCAAGTTAAAACTGATAAGGTATAAACCCCCACTGAGGCCCAAATGACACAATTCAGTAGGGAGGCATAAAGCAGGGAGGGGTATATGAAGTTCTGTCTCTCTTGGACCTTGTATCACACCATATTTAGAATTAATATAAGGAAGATCCCCACCACTACCAGTCTTCTTTATTTTTTTAATTTTATTTATTTATTCTATGACTGAATGAGAGAACCCCTAGCAAAGTTTGTTTTTAATTTGCTATAGAGACTGTGTGCTTGCTAGAGAGTGAAAGCAAGAGAGAGATAAAGAGAGAGAGAGAGTGAGCGCATGCACAAGCGCTCGCACAAAAGCAACCCCCAAGGAAGAATGGCCATGCTACAATCCGTTCTCTTCCATTCTCCTCTCAGTCTTATCAGTCTTAAAAATTCTCTCAACACCCTACGGTTTATTCCCCCCACGTGGGTTGTAAGAATTCCATTTTACAAAGTTTAAAACTGAGCATTTGAGTATATTACCAATTACTGTAATGGAAGGAGGAATAAGTTCCCAAGTTGCCAGCTTAGAAGATTTCTTTCTTTAGTTTTCACAAAGAGGCCAATTTCTTAAGGTTGGGAAGAGCCTTTGAAGGATATAATTGCACTAAATCATTTGGGTTTTTCCATTAGATCCAACAAATTTTTAAGTATATATAAGACTTCTTTGATTCCTTCCCCCTCTTTCCATAATCTATAGGAGACAGGATTAATGTTACTCCCACTCTTAAAATCTGGACTATCTCAAGACTATCCATGACACAGTTCACATGTGGGAGTTATGAAATAAGTATATCCTAAAGTTATCCTTGTGTATTTTAGGTGGTTCCATTCTCATGGGCATGAACTCAGAGAGACTTCCTTTTATTTTGAAAAATAAATCTGGGGACCAGCAGTTAGCACAATGGCTATGTCGCTGGACTCCCATGTAGTCGACCACGGTTTGAGTCCCGGACCTGGTGGCTTAAAACTCACGCCGGGTGTGTGTGCGTGCGTGCGTGCCCAAGATCCCGAGAGGAGAATGGAGGAGAAGGGATTGCGGCATGACCATCCCCCCTGGGGGGTGATTTCTTGCTTTCTCTCTCTCTCTTTATCTGGCGAGCATATGCTCCCTATAGCAAAAACCTCTCAAAAAAAAAAAAAAAAAAAAACTCTGAAAGTGGAGTCATATAAATATTAGATATCGGCTGCTTATAAATTCTGTTTATTCCACAGTCAAGGCCTTTTTATGGACCACACAATCACTCTCTTCAAAGGCATTAGAGCCATCCTTTCATCTTTGAATTTTAGAAGACTGAGCCTTTGGAATTCAGTAGCAACATAAAGTAACCCAGTTTAATGATGTAATGTGGTATTTTATTTTTATATATTTGTGTGTTTTTAATTCATTTTAATCCATTGTAATCCAGTTTATGATGCCTTTGAGAAGAGGCCATCAGTGTTATTTTTTTAATTTTTAATGTGGCTACAACTTGTGAATAAAATTTGACATATTTTATGGCATGTTTCCATTTATTGCTTTTCTAATGTAGTAAGCTAAATTATTAAATTGAGAAAGTTAAATTCTAAGATGCTGAGCTAGTTACCAGGAAAGTGGAAGTTGGGAATACAGTTATTACAAATCTTGTTTTTTATAGCAATTTAAGATCTAACTGTTAAAAACTAGCCCTAGTTGTATGCATTAATATGACCAAGAAGCTCACATGGCCAACCATGGTTCAAACCTTAGTGCTGTCAATTCGAAAAAACATACCACGTGCATACGTGCATACCCATATGCATATTCATTCATGATTTTCTTTTCTACACCAGTTTGAATAACCTGTCTTCAATACTTTATGTAGACCATAGGCTATAAAGACAGTGTCTGACCTACGAGAAGTCAATGTCATAAGCATGCAGTTATGTAAACTTTGTTTCTTTCTGTGAAAGAAAAGAGCTGGGAGCTATGGATGAATATATACCGGCTTCAAACATTTGTAGAAAAAGGGAATTAAAGTATGAGTTTATTTTGGAGCAGAAAAATCTTGCAATTCATGCATAGTTTATTCATACGTGTTTTTTCATGAACTTTTTGAAGACCCTTAAGTAAGAAATACTGGTATCATTTTAGAAAGATAGGAAAGGCTTCTTCAAAGTAATCATTGTCTTCAACCTTAAGGAAGATGTTGTTCTTGGGTGAAGGGGACAAAGAAAAGAGTGTACTGGGCAGAGACAGTGGCATGTTTAAAAGTGCTTATGTCTGAAGCAATAATCTATGTTGATATAATACTAAAAGGTCCTCTATATGGTTAAAGTTTAGAAATATTAGAAGTAGTAATTTTCAATGACATTGAGGGCCAGCAATGTAGCATAGTGACTAAGTGCTGTGCATTGGCAACTGGATCACACAAGGCTGACCCTTGATCAAGTCCCAGCCCCAGCAGATTAAAAAACACACCATGGGGGCAAGCAAGTGGTGTAGTGGTTAAGGTGTTGGACTCCCACATGGCCTATTGTGGTTTGAACCTCAGACGTGGCGGCTTGAAACATACCAGGTACATATGCATTAGTGCCCAAAATCCCAAGAGGAGAATGGAGGAGAGAGGATTGCAGCACTGCTATTCCCTCTGGGGGGTGATTTCTCACTTTCTGTCTTTCTGTCTCTCCCGCGAGTGCATGCACTCTCTAGCAAAATTCTCTCAAAAATAAATAAGTAAATAAAAATACACCACATACATGTGTGCCCAAAATCCTGACAGGATGGAGAAACTGAGGAAGAAAACGTGGTGTGACCATGCCCCTTTAAGGGTCTCTCTCTCTCTCCTTCTCCCTCTCCCTCTCCCCCTGCAATAAAAAATTTAAATATATATATACACACAAACACACACACACACATACATACACATGGTTGAAATTTTAGTCGAGGCTACAGAAAAGGGCTGGTATGCCCCAAATGCACTGTCTCTGATTAAAAATACTATTCAAGAAGCTGAATGGGGGCCAGTAGCTGTCATGATGGTTAAGGTGCCAGATTCCCACATGGCCGACTGCAGTTCAAGTCCCGGACTTGGCAGCTTGAAACTGACGCTGAGCATGCGGTGGTGTGTGCATGACCAAAATCCCAAGAGGAGAATGGAGGAGAAGGGATTATGGCATGGCCATACAACCTAGGGGGTGATTTCTCACTTTTTCTCTCTCTGTCTCTCCAGCAAGCACATGTGGCCTATAGCAAAAAATCTCTCCAAAAAAAAATTGAACAAGAAGAAGCTGTGTAAGTGTAGATATCAGCTCATTTAATAAGTAATTGGAAGGTCTATGGTCATATGGAAAGAGATGTGAAAGGAGCACTTTAAACCCGGCAACCCCCAATGGCGAGCTCCAACCCTGCCTTCTACCCAGTGTCTAGCCCTGTTCTCAGGGGTATCCTGCCTTGGGGGGCCTGGCAGTGATGAGAATACAGCAGTGAATACATCTCTGCCTTCATAGACACAATTTTCTGGTGGCAGAGACAGAATTATACATAATTTCAGGACAAGTTCTGTTTAGCATAAGTTATTTAACAGACAAAAATATGGAAAGGACATCAATTTTGAATAGGGTGCTCAATCAGGTCTTCCTAGAAGCTGACATAAGCCAAGATGGAAGTCATCAGTATAACCATCCATGTGAAGGGCATTCAAGACAGAAGGAAAAGTTTGACCTGTTCAAGGAACAGAAAGATGGTCAGTAACCTCACAGCAATAGTTATCAATAAGGAAGTACCAACTCCCCTCACTCCTGAGCCAAATATAATGTAAGGGAATTTCAAAAAGTTCACGGAAGAATGGAAAGTATTTTGGTACAAAACATTTTTTGAGAGCCATGTATAGTCTGTTCATAATACACATATTGTACAGACTTTTTAAAGACCCTCTACAACCCCCAAGAAAAAGAACCAAGGTAGCAGTTGTGTGTTTCAGCCTCAGTTTGCTCATCAGATGACATGACTCATAAAGTTATCAGCTGAAAGTTGCAACAGGTCAAGCAGGTCATGAGGACCTGAACTGTGAAGGTAGGAATGAGGAAGAGGTAAGTTCAAGAATTTTTTTTAATAGAGTCAAATATTGTGTTGATTAAAAATGACAGGACTTGATCTAGTCCCAGAGTATAGGGGTCAGTGAAGGAAGCTGGATCTCCCTATGGTTAGGGTCCCAGCCCAGTGACTTGGAAAACATGGTGGGTACATGGATGTACACACTCAAATCCTAACAAGAAGGAGTAATGGAAGAAAAAGGATTGTGTCATGACCACATGTGCTAATGAGTGCTTGCTTTCTCACTCTCACTCTAGTGAGCACACTCACTCTGTGTCAATAAGAACAACAAAAAGACAGAATTTATAAATGTGAGCAATTAACCCCATCATCCACACTTCCATCTTGTATACAAAAAGGCTACTTTCTAAGAGATTTGACCAGGTAAAAGTAAGTTGTAAATCACTAATCACTGTCATAATGTTAAATAGTAACTTTCCAAATTGATGAGGAAATGAGAATAAGTGTAGTTACAAAAGGTTAAACAAGTTATGTGCAAGTCTGAGCATACGACCTGTTTTTATGAAGTCTGTCAAAATGCATCATACTGCACTCCCATTTTTAACTTTAGGAAATATTTCCCACACATTTAGCTTGGCGTGGTATTAATGACTCTTACACATATTAAAGCAAAAAAATAATAAAACTACATTTTTTATCTGGGTACAATGCATAATCATAATCATCTCATAGACCACAAGATCTACCTGCAAAGTGCAAAGAACCCCAAAATAAAAACAAGAATGAATTCATGGTTTTCCTTTTTTTTTTTTTGTTTTCATTTCTGTTTCTTTACCTCAATCCCCTTTTGCACATCACAAATTCAAAGGTAAAAAAGTCAGGGCCCTACTCTTGAGGATAAAGCCAATTGGAAAAATCAGGTTATAAAAGGAAGGAAAACATATTTTTTAAGTTATATATTAAATTTTTTGTGAGAGGTTTTTTCGCTATAGGGCACGTGCGCTCGTCAGACAGAGAGACATAGAGACAGAAAGCGAGAAATCATCCCCCAGGGGGGATGGTCACGCCGCAATCCCTTCTCCTCCATTCTCCTCTTGGGATCTTGGGCACGCACGCACACGCGCCCGGGGTGAGTTTTCAGCCACTGGTCCGGGACGCGAACCGCGGTCAACTACATGGGAGTCCAGCGACATAGCCATTACGCTAGCTGGTCTTCTATTTATTAAATTTTATCTATTCATTTATTTATTTTTAGTTTCACAGAGAGAGACACAGAGAGAGAGAGAGGAAGAGGAGAAGTGAGAAAGCAAGCCACCAGGTCTAGGACTTAAACCATGGTCAGTCATATGGGAGTGTCCAGCACCCTAAACACCATGCCACCTGCTGGTCCCAGAAAAACATTTTTAAAAGGATTCACAGATTTCCTTATCTTTCAGAAAAGACTGGAAAATTGAGAATTATACCCATTTTATACAAATGATTAAAAATTAGATATTAATTGATAGAGATAGAAATCTCTATTTTCTAATTTTAAGCACGCACTTAGAGTTCTCACAGCATTGACTTAGGGGCCAAGCTCTGATGGCACAGAGATAGTACCACCATGTGGTAGACTGGAATCACGTGGAAGGCTTGGATTTGTACCCAGGGCAACCTGAGCATGCCCGGCAGGGTTATACACACTTGTAATTCTACCTAATTGGGAACGGGGGCAGGAGGATCATGAAATGACAAGATCCTAAGAAAGAATGCCTCTCTCTCTCTCTCTCTCTCTCTCTCTCTCTCTCTCTCTCTCCTTCTCTCCCTTTTTCTTTCCCTCAATCTCATAAAAGGAGTCATGGAAAGTGTGAACCCAGCCAGCAGTGTCAGTTTTATCTAGGAACTTATAAGCAATACATTTTCCTGGATTCTGCTCCAGATTTACTGAATTTAAAACCCTGATGATGGGAACTTGCACTCTGTGTTTCAATGAGTCCTTAGGTGATGCTGATGTAAGCAAGCATTTGAAAATCACTGTATCTGGGTGCTTGTTCTCTACCAAGTGATTTGATATTTAAAAGAAAAAAATGAATCATATGATTTTTTTCTGAGTTCTGAACTTTTTTCTTTCTTTTTTTTTTTTTTTAATTTACTATGGGACATGTGCAGTCACCAGAGAGTGACACAGAGACAGGGTAAGGGGAGTTAGAAAGCAAGTCACCAGTTCTGGGACTCAAACTGTGGTCAGCCTTGTAGGAATCCAACATCTTAACCACCTTGCTGCCTGCTGGCCCGAGTTCTGAAGTTCTGTTGTTGTTTTCTTTAATGCATTATTTATGATTTCTAGATGACAAAGGAATTATGCTTTAGTATTAAATATTGGATTATCAGAAAAGTCATGACACATTTTTGCATAGAAAAACAGAAAAATGTCATAACTTTTCTGACAACCAAATATTTCTTTTTGGAGAGATTTTTGCTATAGGGCGCATGCGCTCGCCAGAAAGACAGAGAGAGACAGAGAGATAGAAAGCGAGAAATCACCCCCCAGGGGGGATGGCCACACCACAATCCCTTCTCCTCCATTCTCCTCTCAGGATCTTGGGCATGCACGCACAGGCGCCCAGCCTGAGTTTAAGCTGCCAGGTCCAGGACTCGAACCATGGTCGACTATGTGGGAGTCCAGAACCATAGCCATTACACTAACTGCTGGTCCCATCTGACAACCCAATATTTCTTAACATTGCATCAACTAAGAATTAGCCTTGACATAGGACAGGGGCATTGCAGGGAGACATCTATGTCTGAGATGCTCTGCCCATTTCAGGGACCAGTGTGAGGGCTGAGCAGCCCCAAGCCACAGCTGCTGTCTTGCAAGCTCACCTCCCAGCCCATAGCTACAAAGGCTCAGGGAACAGCAGTTAGCGTAATGGCTATGTCACTGGACTCCCATGTAGTTGACCACAGTTCGACTTCCCCACCCGGGGTTAAACACGCCGGGTGCTTGTGTGTGCGTGCCCAAGATGAGAGGAGAAGGGGGAAGGGATTGCAGCGGGACCATCCCCCCTGGGGGGTGATGTCTCGCTTTCTGCCTCTATGTCTCTCTCTGTCTTTCCGGCGAGCGCACGTGCCCTATAGCAAAAAAACTCTCCAAAAAAAGATTCAGAGAAATTCTCACCCTACACTGAACCAGTGGCTAAAGGGAGATACTCCTCTTCATAACGCAGAACTATAGACAGCACATTGCAGAACACAGTAGAAGAGAGAAACTGGCACAGGAATACCTCACACTAAAGGGAAACACACAAGCTCACAGTTGCAGAAACATTCTCCAACAAATTAGCCAAAAGTATATACATCACCAAATGCCTAAAAATCGGAGAAGAGCCTCAACTAAGAGAAAACCAAGTAATACATCTCCAACAAGGGAACAGAGTAACTAATCTCCAAGCATGGAAACATCAGAGGAAATTACTGAAATGTCAGAAAAGGAATTCAGAATATTTATGGCCACAAAACTGTGAGATGGAAGAGAAAAAAGACATCCTGGAGATTAGGAAGTCATTTCATGATGTGAAAGAGAAAACAGACAATATTCAGAAGAATCAAACAGAATTCTAGATTTGAAGTCTGCAATGTAGAAGATCAAAACCTCCCTTGAAAGTACTAAAAGCATAATATTGAACTTTGGATGTAGAAGACGAAACCTCTGACATAGGGACCAGCAGTTAGTGTAATGGCTATGTCGTTGGACTCCCATGTAGCAGACCACGGTTCATGTCCCAGACCTGGTGGCTTAAAACTCACCCCAGGCGCATGTGCGTGCATGCCCAAGATCCCGAGAGGAGAATGGAGGAGAAGGGATTGCGGCATGACCATCCCCCCTGGGGGGTAATTTCTCGCTTTCTGTCTCTATGTCTCTCTCTGTCTGTCTGGCGAGCGCATGCACCCTATAGCAAAAACCTCTTTAAAAAAAAAAAAAGAAAAGAAAAAAGAAAAAAAAAAAACTCTGACATAGAAAAAAAATCACCAAAAAAGAATGAAAAAATAACCCAAAAATTGAGAATAATATATGAGAAATACTATATACCATTAAATGCCCAAACATCCAAATAATTGGTATCCTAGAATACGAAGAAATATTTTGGAATTAATTTTAGAAAAAGTATTTTAGAAAAATACTTTTTAGAAAAATACTTTGAAATTACTTTTAGAAAAATCGAGTTTCAGGTCAAACCTATAGCTTTCCTTTTTAAAATATATTTACTTTTCATTTACTTCTGCTAAAAAAAAAACGGTGCTGAGAACTGCCACAATTAAAAAAAAAAGACAGATTAGACTTTCTAAAATTATATGGGAAACACTGTCAAATATGAAATGGTATTTGGCTCTCTGTATATAGAAATTTGTGTCAGTGGGGGTTCCAAAACTGTATATGATTCTTAAATATCTGTTATGTGTTAGTATGTTATGAGTCATATTTGCTAAATAGTTCTAATGCAGTTGGTCACAGAAATGGTCAAAATTTGTCAATTCTGGGTAAAATCAGGTCTTGAACCATGGCCATTTTAAGTTACATGGTCCATAGTTGATTGCTTTATGTGATGCTCTTTCTAAAACATTTTGTAATAGGCTACAACCAAAAAGTGCCTCTTTTAAGGACAGTAATGAAAAAGACTGATAAGTACTCTTGAATATAGATTTCTGACAACTTTGTGATCATATTTCTGAATGTCCAGAATTTAAACAGAAAGATCGGACCACAGTAACACTGCAAACTCAACAGGACAGAGATTACATGAGCCTGAACTGGTGAAATAGAATTTTATGACTTTTGACTAAAACATTACTGATTTTCTCCTATGCTTTGTTTTCCAGATTTAAGGATGGTTTTCTTTTGAGTTGTGGATACAGGTTCAGCAATTTGTTCTTTTTTTTTTTTTTTTTGAAAGCAGAATTAAAACATAAACTCTCCTCTCTTCCTGACCCCTCCGGAGTTGGAAAGTATTTGTGAGTATTCTTATTTTGTGGGAGTATGGTTATTTGCACAAGTTTAGTAATACCTGTTGCCTTGCATCAGAAATTGGAAATGCGGGTTATTTCCAGGGCTTTGGCTGGAATGTCATATCTGGAGATATGACCAGGGAGCTAAAACTAAGGTAGACCTCAAGAAAGCCAAAAGAAGCTCCTGGAGAGGATGCCTGGCACCATAAACAGTTCTGCCTGGAAAGTAAGTAAAGAATATCACTTCCTAACAGGCCCAAAAACCTCCAAATACAGGTTCTTAAAGGCACCATCAGATGGTGAATTCCTGACTTGGCTCAGTAGCGTTGGGAGGTTTTTTAAAGACTCTAATCTGAAGTTCCCTATGAAAGGTTCCAGTAAAGCCAAGTAAATCAATTAGCATTCTTAGTGGGTTTGTGCAAATAATGGACCTAATTGAGACTAAGCTTATTTTTTTGTAAGTAAGTTAGTTTATGCTTCTCTTTGGTAAAAGGAGGAATGGAGAGAGGAAAAAAATGTTTCAGAGGAAAACTAGAGTGCACTCGTTACTAGATTTTAGGTCTGTCCATATCAGTTTTTTGAGTTTGTAGCATCTCCCTATTGTTTGGTAGATACTTTTTCCCGGCTTTAAGTCTTCTGCAAATTTTTTTAACTTTTTAAAAATTTTGATTCATTGGGACCAGCAGTTAGCGTAATGGCTATGTCACTGGACTCCCATTAGTCAACTGCGGTTTGCGTACCGGACCCGGTGGCTTAAAACTCATGCCAGACGTGTGTGCGTGCGCACCCAAGATCCTGAGAGGAGAATGGAGGAGAAGGGATTGCGGAGTGGCCATCCCCCCTGGGGGGTGATTTCTCCCTTTCTGTCTCTCTGTCTCTCTCTGTCTGGCGAGTGCCCCGGCCTAATACAAAAACCCCTCCAAAAAAATTTTTTTGATTCATTAAGGCTAAAACTGCTTTTATTGAAATTCAAAAAATAATAATAGCAAACTAAAGACAGTGCAGGAGAAGAGTGGGCAATGAGGAGTTGGGGAGGGAGTCAAGGGCGGAATAAGAGCAAAACATTTAACAGACACAAAAATGGAAAACTGCTGCTAATAATGTGCACGATAACATCTCTGACTAAACCTACACAGTGTAGTCAAGGTAGAAAGATTCATTTTGTATATTGTAAAGATGTACAAGTGATTAGGGACCAGCAGTTAGCATAAGGGCTATGTCGCTGGACTCCCATGTAGTCGACCACAGTTCGAATCCCAGACCCGGTGGCTTAAACTCACACCAGGCGCATGTGCTTGCGTGCCCAAGATCCCAAGAGAAGAATGGAGGAGAAGGGATTGCGGCATGGCCAATCCCCCTGGGGGGTGATTTCTCGCTTTCTGTCTCTCTATCTCTCTCTGTCTGTCTGGTGAGCACACGCGCCTCTCCGAAAAAAGGGGGAAAAAAAAAAAAAAAGATGTACAGTGATTAAATGGAAAAAAGGTTGCCTCATGGACACGGAATCAAATCTGTCCAGATCCGTACCATCCTCAGAGCTTTGCTTTTAGGATGTGCTTTTCAGCACATGGGTCTTTTACTCCATATTCTTGAAGCTGCCTCAGGACCACCACTCTCCACCTAGAAATATGTGTACTCAGAAACTGAGGCATTAAGGGAAAAAATGAAAACCTTCAAGAGCTCCAAACAGTCGGCAATTAAGTTCAGCCTCTTTGTGCTTTTCAAAGTACCTCCCAATGAGCCCGGTGGAATTCAATGAGCACACACTTGAGAGTCATGGATTCACAACTGTGTCCTGAGAGTCACAGGAGACAATTTCCATGGAAACACTCAAACGATCCATTTCACTCTACTCACCTGACTGATCTGTAGTACTTGTATTGACAAAAATCTTACGTTTTAGGAGGTTTTACTTACAACGAGTAGAGGCTCTCTCCAAGCTGCCTGACTGGGATGGATTATCGTGGACACCTGGCAGGCTTCAATAAAAACAGCCAGAGACACTTGGTCCTCTCACAACTTCCTGTTCCCTGAATGGACGGTGCCTCGGGCTCTGGCCAGATGAAGGTTTTTCTAGTGCTAGGAGGGCTGCCTCTCCTGTTTTCTCTGATTTGGATTTGCTCTGGAGAAGAACCTTCAGGTATTTATGTACAAAGTAATAGGAGAGAGGGTGGGTAAATTGATGCTCAATACTGAGGCTTCTTCTCTGTCTTTGTAAATCCTAATGTTTTCCTCTGCCACTCCATGGCTAACAAATAAGGTTCTACAGTAAATAATCTGCTTTAGGATGGTTAAAGTTGGAACAGCTTAATTCCCCAGCCCGGCTTCACCCCGGTAGCTTCTTTTGTCCCTCAAAGTCCTTCTCCCCTTTAAGAATAGCTTACTGTTAGGAAAATGGGGGTGACTGATTACGTAGAAGAGGTTCCCATATATCTGAGATGGATGGGAGATCTTCTCTTTAGCTGTAGAAAATGGGGCTGAGTGGGGGGCGGTGTGGACCAACAGATGGCATAGCAGTTACATCGCTGGACTCCCATATGACCAACTGCAGTTTGAGTCCCTGACCCAGTGGCTTGAAACACACTAGATGTGAGTTCGTGCCCAGGATCCCAGGTGGAGAAGGGATTGCAGCATGGCTATCCCCCCTGGGGGTAAGAGGTGATCTCTCCCTTTCCCTCTCCCTGTGCCTGTCTCTGTCTCTCTCTGAGAAGCACACGTGCATAAGGCAAAAACCTCTTAAAAAAAAAAAGAAAGAAAAGAAAGAAAAAGAAAATGGGGCTAGGAAATAAACCTACAAGAGAGAAACATATACATCAGATCAGATGCTTATTTCTACTTAGACCAACAGATATTTCAAATAGAGCTCTGTTTTCTCAGCTTGGTGAATCAACATGCCAAAGAATTCGAACTTTGTTTCAGAAATTCTGACAATGAGTTGTATCCCAGTGCATTCTCAAGATACAAAGTAGCAGATCTTCTTGCCCACCAAATCCATTCCTTCTTCTCTTCACCCCCAGGATATTAATTTTCTGGAACATTCATTTAAAAACTTACGTATAAACTACCAGGATCGGTATTATTTAGTTGTTTTGTGCACTTATAGAAGAAACAAATAGGACATCTAGGAATGGTACTGAATTTTGTATAGAAAGTCATTCTTTAAATACATATGAATTAGGGGGAAAAAAGTAGCAGATACGTAGGAAGAACAAGTCACAAGATCTTATATACACTATGACGCTACAGTTAGTAGTAGTGTATTGTAGTCAGGATTTTTTGCTAAATGAGTAGATTATAGCTGCTCTTGCCACAGGGGAGAAAATGGGAAACTATGTAAGGTGGTGGATAAGTTATTTCACTAGAGTAAAAAAATCTATTTTTTTATTGTGTATACTTAAGGTATACAACATGATGCTATGGGGTTTGTGTATGTGTATGTATGTATGTATGTATGTGTATGTCCCATACCATCATGTTGTATGCCTTGGGTATACACAATAAAATTTACTTTGAAAAACAAAATAAAAGCTAAATAAGTAAAAATATAGGCTCAACTATCTTTGGTTGACAAGATTTAATATGTCTCGAAGCCATTTGATCTTTTCATTTACTTAACAACACCAGCTAGGATAATTCATTTTGGAAGTTTCCACTTCATCACAAATCCAAGTTATACTTCTAGTTTAGTTCCTTTAAAAGATCCCACTGGGGTCAGCAGATGGCATAGTGAAGGTGCTGCATTCCTATGGTTCAAGTCATGGACCTGGAGGCTTGAAAAATGAGATCAGGTGTGTGTGCAGGTGCCCAAAATGCCAGGACAAGAATGGAGGAGAAGAGATTGTGATGTGGCTATTCCCCCAACACCTGGGGGGTTGAGGGGGTGAATTCTCACTTTCCTTCTCTCCAGCAAGCACACATGTCCTATGGCCAAAAAATAAAAATAAAAAGTGATCAGGAAGGTTCTACATGTGCTTGCTTCTTTCTTAGAAAAAGGTAGTATTGTTTAGGTATCCTTTCAACAAATGTATCTTGAGCATCTAATAAAAAGATTAAAAAATACTAGATCACAAGCGGAGTAAGAGAAAAAAAATGTATTGGAAAACAGCAGTGGCGGGGCCTGCTTGTGGCATAGTAGTTAAGTGTTAGACTCTCTCATGGCCAGCCATGGTTCGAGTCATGAACCCAGCAGTTTGAAAAAACACTGGGCACATGTGGTGTGTGCCCAAGATCCCAAGAGGGGAATGGAGGAGAAGGGATTGAGGCATGTCCATCCTCCCTGGGGGATGTTTCTCTCACTCTGTCTCTCTGGCAACTACATATAGAGCAAAAATCTCTCAGAAAAAAAAAAAAACTGGCTTAAGCTACCATCATTCGCTTTATTTTTTTAAAAAGAATTATTTAATTTAATTTTATTTTTATTTGACCAGAGAGGGACCGAGAGAGAGAGAGAGAGAGAGAGAGAGAGAAGGAACATGAGAAAGCAAGCTGCCAGGTCCAGAACTTGAACCACAATTGGCCATGTGGAAGTCCAGAGCCTTAACCATCATGCCACTTGCCAGTCCCCATCCTTAGATTTCTGTCCCAGTACTGTTAGTATTAGTTTGGTCAAGTAACTCTACTGCTTCAGAAAAATATCAAGATAAAACAGAACCAAGATGAGAACATAAGCTTCGCTTCCTGGTTAAATTAGGAGTGAAGATAGACTGTTACCCATCATCACATACACAAAAGCCACAGCCGAGATGGTCTTTGACTTGGAAAGGTACCATGAGACACCTAAGCTCTCATTTAGGTTGGCTCTCATCCATGTATAGGGTCACCTGGATTCTTCTTGGAAGTAGGAAGACACATGAGTTTTTAAGGTAGAAGGTAAGACTTTGAAGAACACATCTAAAATGCGTTCTCTACTGACAGGTGTCTTCTATTATCGATGAGCTCTGTGTTTCCCTGACCTGCAGCACACAGGACTATGTGATGTGCTCTCTCTTCTGCCTTTAACAGTGTATGTCCGATGCAACCCTTCTTTGTTCCTGGTCAGAATTAAGCCGACTGCCTTTGACGAGGATCTGTTTGTGAGTCCCAATGACGTGTTTCTGGGAAATCAATGTCCTGTAACCTCAGTGCATCAAGGACTTTATGAGTTTCTATACCATCCCAGTGATTGTGGCATCAGGACTGAGGTAATTAGATATTTTCCTGATTAAATCTTCTTATAGACTTTCAGGCTCATATACTGGATGCCACGGTTCTGGGGGATTGTCATGGTTTTGGTTTGGGTTTCCCTAGTGGTAAGCTAAACTGATTTTGCCACATGTCACATCCAGTCCATGGGCGATAAAACATACAAATAAACAAATTGACAAGTGGCAAGTTTCTACTATTCAATCAGTTGTACCTCCCTCTAGCGAATGGAAAACTAAGATGTCAAAACTGATCCTGCTTTTAGAGAAGAACTTTTCTTTTTCTATCTCAGGGGATGATGGACAACAGCCTAGAGTGGAATCTGGCCTTTTCTTTATTCTTACTTTTTATTTGACCAGAGAGAGACAGAGAGAGAAAGAAAGAAAAGGGAAAGTAAGAAAGTAAGTCGGGTCCAGAACTCAAACTGTGGTTGGCCGTGGGAGTCCAGCACCTTAACCACCATGCCACCTGCCAGCCCCATTTTTTACATTCCTTAAAAGGAATTTGTTATTCTGAAAAACATGGAAATCTACTTAAGGTATTCTTTATAATTAGATGTATCTCCTGTTTACCTCATCTTCAAAAACAATGCTTTCTATCTCAAGGCCTCAGACTCTAGAGAAAAGTTTCTCAAAACAGGAAGTTATAAACCCTTTATTAATAATAATGAGTAATAACTTGGAGACAATATTATTTAAACTCATACGACAAATACTCTCACTTTCTAGGATCCATGTCCTATACCAGATGTTAATTCTTTCAGGACATTTCAAAAATAGCCTTCTCATATCCACTGAGAAGACACCTTTGAGTAAGAATGCTTGCTTTTTTTTTTTTTTTTTTGAGAGAGATTTTTTTGATATAGGGCACATGTGCTCACGAGAGAGAGAGATAGAGACAATGAGATACAGAGACAGAAAATGAGAAATCACCCCCTCAGGGGGGATGGCCATGCTGCCCTCCCTTCTCCTTCATTCTCCTCTTGGGAAATACACATGTGCCGAGCGTGAGTTTTAAGACACTGGATCCAGGACCTGAACCATGGTCAACTACGTGGGAGTCTAGCAACATAACCATTATGCCATCTGCTGGGCCCAGAATGCTTGCTTTTTAGAGATGTTGATTGGACCATATTACAAATTCTATTTCTAGCAAAATCTTTTTATCAGTTTGAACATGAGTTTTGTCTCTCTAGGTTCTTCCAGGGAACTGGCTCCTTTTTGAATCTAGAATCACCTTTATGTCAGTGTTTGCAGAATTCGAAGCTTCAATACTTGTGTTCTGTGCTGTTCCCGGGTGAGTCTCACATGCCGAACTAGTTTCATAGCCTCTGAACCTGACTGGGGAAAGGAGAGAGCTCAAGCTGAGAGATTAAGCTAGACAAGGTTAGCCATGTCTTTATGAGAATCTTCCTTTCTGGATGACATGTTATTTTATATATATATATATATAAAAATTTTAGCGGTTTTTGCTATAGGGCATGTGCACTCACCAGAAAGACAGAGATCGAAAGCGAGAAATCACCCCCCAGGAGGTATGGCCACGCTGCAATCCCTTCTTCTCCATTCTCCCCTTGGGATCTTGGGCACACACGCTCATGCGCCCAACGTGAGTTTAAGCCACAGAGTCCGAAACTCAAACTGCGGTCAACTACGTGAGAGTCCAGCGACATAGCCATTACGCCATCTGCTGGTTCCTTATTCTGTATTCTTGATTTCACACCTCTGCTACCTATAATCAGGGTGGCACTGAGGAAGTTACTCAATGCCTTTATGTCTCAATTTCTTCATCATTTTTTTTTTTTAATTTGTTTTTATTTTTTAATTGTTGGAGGCTGAATTATTAGTAGAAAGTCTTCATTCCCTTAAAAATCTAGTTCACAGTAGCCATGTGGAACCTTATCCTGAAGGCCCGTGGCTTCTTCTGCCGCTAGCTCTTTTGTTGGAGGCTGAATTATTAGTAGAAAGTCTTCATTCCCTTAAAAATCTAGTTCACAGTAGCCATGTGGAACCTTATCCTGAAGGCCCGTGGCTTCTTCTGCCTGGATGGGAGGAGCAGAGCGAAAATTAACAAGAAGGAAGGCGGAGCTAAGGGCCAGAGAAAAACTGGGCCTCTTTTTAAAAAAAAAAAGGAGTAAAAAGGAAATATTACCAAAAAAAAAAGGGAAGATAGAAGCAGGGAGAGACAGGAACTGAGAGACCGAGAGAGAAGGCTGGGGGCGCAGAGGGGGGCTCCCTACCGCTAGCTCTTTTGTTGGAGGCTGAATTATTAGTAGAAAGTCTTCATTCCCTTAAAAATCTAGTTCACAGTAGCCATGTGGAACCTTATCCTGAAGGCCCGTGGCTTCTTCTGCCGCTAGCTCTTTTGTTGGAGGCTGAATTATTAGTAGAAAGTCTTCATTCCCTTAAAAATCTAGTTCACAGTAGCCATGTGGAACCTTATCCTGAAGGCCCGTGGCTTCTTCTGCCGCTAGCTCTTTTGTTGGAGGCTGAATTATTAGTAGAAAGTCTTCATTCCCTTAAAAATCTAGTTCACAGTAGCCATGTGGAACCTTATCCTGAAGGCCCGTGGCTTCTTCTGCCGCTAGCTCTTTTGTTGGAGGCTGAATTATTAGTAGAAAGTCTTCATTCCCTTAAAAATCTAGTTCACAGTAGCCATGTGGAACCTTATCCTGAAGGCCCGTGGCTTCTTCTGCCGCTAGCTCTTTTGTTGGAGGCTGAATTATTAGTAGAAAGTCTTCATTCCCTTAAAAATCTAGTTCACAGTAGCCATGTGGAACCTTATCCTGAAGGCCCGTGGCTTCTTCTGCCTGGATGGGAGGAGCAGAGCGAAAATTAACAAGAAGGAAGGCGGAGCTAAGGGCCAGAGAAAAACTGGGCCTCTTTTTAAAAAAAAAAAGGAGTAAAAAGGAAATATTACCAAAAAAAAAAGGGAAGATAGAAGCAGGGAGAGACAGGAACTGAGAGACCGAGAGAGAAGGCTGGGGGCGCAGAGGGGGGCTCCCTACCGCTAGCTCTTTTGTTGGAGGCTGAATTATTAGTAGAAAGTCTTCATTCCCTTAAAAATCTAGTTCACAGTAGCCATGTGGAACCTTATCCTGAAGGCCCGTGGCTTCTTCTGCCGCTAGCTCTTTTGTTGGAGGCTGAATTATTAGTAGAAAGTCTTCATTCCCTTAAAAATCTAGTTCACAGTAGCCATGTGGAACCTTATCCTGAAGGCCCGTGGCTTCTTCTGCCGCTAGCTCTTTTGTTGGAGGCTGAATTATTAGTAGAAAGTCTTCATTCCCTTAAAAATCTAGTTCACAGTAGCCATGTGGAACCTTATCCTGAAGGCCCGTGGCTTCTTCTGCCGCTAGCTCTTTTGTTGGAGGCTGAATTATTAGTAGAAAGTCTTCATTCCCTTAAAAATCTAGTTCACAGTAGCCATGTGGAACCTTATCCTGAAGGCCCGTGGCTTCTTCTGCCTGGATGGGAGGAGCAGAGCGAAAATTAACAAGAAGGAAGGCGGAGCTAAGGGCCAGAGAAAAACTGGGCCTCTTTTTAAAAAAAAAAAGGAGTAAAAAGGAAATATTACCAAAAAAAAAAGGGAAGATAGAAGCAGGGAGAGACAGGAACTGAGAGACCGAGAGAGAAGGCTGGGGGCGCAGAGGGGGGCTCCCTACCGCTAGCTCTTTTGTTGGAGGCTGAATTATTAGTAGAAAGTCTTCATTCCCTTAAAAATCTAGTTCACAGTAGCCATGTGGAACCTTATCCTGAAGGCCCGTGGCTTCTTCTGCCGCTAGCTCTTTTGTTGGAGGCTGAATTATTAGTAGAAAGTCTTCATTCCCTTAAAAATCTAGTTCACAGTAGCCATGTGGAACCTTATCCTGAAGGCCCGTGGCTTCTTCTGCCGCTAGCTCTTTTGTTGGAGGCTGAATTATTAGTAGAAAGTCTTCATTCCCTTAAAAATCTAGTTCACAGTAGCCATGTGGAACCTTATCCTGAAGGCCCGTGGCTTCTTCTGCCGCTAGCTCTTTTGTTGGGGGCTGAATTATTAGTAGAAAGTCTTCATTCCCTTAAAAATCTAGTTCACAGTAGCCATGTGGAACCTTATCCTGAAGGCCCGTGGCTTCTTCTGCCGCTAGCTCTTTTGTTGGAGGCTGAATTATTAGTAGAAAGTCTTCATTCCCTTAAAAATCTAGTTCACAGTAGCCATGTCTCAATTTCTTCATCATTAAAAGTAGAGATAATAATACCAGTTTCACAGATTTGTGGTTTGGATTAAATAAAACAACACATGTAAAGGATTACAACAGTGTTGAGTTTATGAAACACACAGAATATAGAGCTGATACCAAGATTATGTCAATTAATTCTCTTCATCGCGGTATATAGCTGTATGTAAGATGACAAGGACAAATTTTATTGTATACTTAATAGCTCTTACACTAATAAATTGGTTTGTTCTAATTATAATAATTGTCCATATTACAAATTATATTTCTTTTTTTGGTGGGGGGGAGGTTTTTGCTATAGGGCATGTGTGCTCACTAGAAAGAAAGAGAGAGAAAGCGAAAAATCACCCCCCCAGGCGGGGATAAACACGCCATCACCCCCCCAGGCGGGGATAGCCATGCCGAAATCCCTTCTCCTCCAATCTCATCTCAGGATCTTGGTCATGCATGCACACATCCCCAGCGTGAGTTTAAGCCACCAGGTCTGGGACTCGAACCGTGATCGGCTACATGGGAGTTCAGCAACATACCCATTACACTAACTGCTGGTCCCCACATTATATTTCTTATCTCTTAGCTAAAACCAAGCAAGAATATTAGAGGCATGGATTACTTCAAGAGGATAGGAGCTGACAGTTTTATTATTGTGGCAGTACAGGCTAGGAAGAAAGGGGAATTCTACTGCAATACTATTGGGTTGTCATAAAAGTCATGATGTGGAACCAGCAGACGGCATAATGGTTATATCGCTGGACTCCCACATAGTTGACCATGGTTCGAATTCCAGACTCAGAGGCTTAAAACTCACACCAGGAGCGTGTGCATGAGTACCCAGAATCCAGAGGGGAGATTGAAGGAGAAGGGATTGCAGCATGGCCATCCTCCCAGGGGGGTGATTTCACACTTTCTGTCTCTGTCTCTTTAGCAAACACAAGCACCCTATAGCAAAAATCTCTTGAAAAAGGAAGAAAACTCATGGCTCACTTTTTGCATAGAAAGAAAAATACGTCATGACTTTTCTTAGGACCCAATAGTTTCAACTAGTTGCATGCTAATATTTTAACTGTCTCCATAATCTATAAGATAGGATGTTTATTGGTTCATTTATACAGTACCCATTGTAGAGTACCATCTAAGATCATTACATTTTTAAGTCAATGAATCTAATCATCTAATAGCAAATCTGGTGGTATCTTTGGGAGGGGTGTTCTTTTACATAAATCTTACTAGGTTCAATCATTAAACGTATAATTCATTTTCCAAAATGAGAACAACACATCAATATCTCAACAGTGCTTCTTCCACACCACTGAGAAAGGATACTGGTGCAAGAATCTGAAAAGCAAGGATCACAGCCTCAACTTCAAGAACTGAATCTTAGCTGATCCTAACCCTGTTCTTCTTTCTTCATCTTCTTTGCCCTTTCTGCAGTCATGTAGCTCCTATAAAAATCAACGGATATAATGCAGATAAACAGAGTGGCCCCCCAAGAAGTTCAGGAATAGCAAATTTACCCAATGGAAATGCAATCAACTGGGAACTTAAGGTGAGATTACTTAAAGTACATAGATTAACGCTGTTTAAGTTATCCTTTAAACAATCAAACAAGATTTTACAAAGAAATTGTATAAACACTTGTGCTTTTAATTCATGAAGGTCTGGTTAAAGCATCCCTTATTTACTACAGGTATTCTTTATAGAAGCCCCTTGTCTATCTGACATTAAGTGAAAGAACCATATAACTCAGCTTGTTTCTCAGGGACCATAAAGGATTAGGCACTAAATAAAATGTTTTACCTAAATCAACACTAATTGAATATTAAATAGAAATGTTTCTCTTTTTTTTATTTTTTTATTTTTGAGAGGTTTTTGCTATAGGGCACGTGCGCTTGCCAGACAGAGAGACAGAAAGCAAGAAATCTCCCCCCAGGGGGGATGGCCACGCTGCAATCCCTTCTCCTCCATTCTCCTCTCGGGATCTTGGGCATGCACACACACGCGCCCGGCGTGAATTTAAGCCACCAGGTCCAGGACTCAAACCATGGTCAACTACATGGGAGTCCAGCGACATAGTCATTACATTAACTGCTGGTCCCTAGAAATGTTTTTAAATTAGTATCAAAACCATGGAATATAGAATTTGGTGGCATAGATAGTCCTTGAAAGATGAACACAGAAATGCAGATTCTGTCCTAAAAGGATTAAATGCCTCCTGGCAGTGACTACATTTCCTAAATTATATGGATTTTCCTTCTGAAACAGCAATACATGAAAATTCTGTTTTAAAAAAAAAACTATATATATATATGTATATATATATATATTCATGAAAATTCTGAATCTACATACACACACACACACACATATATAGTCATGTGTTATAAACTTTTAATGTACCTAACATTGAGGGGAAAGAACTGTTATTTAGCTATTCTACAGTGTATACATATTTCAAAATATCATGTGACACATGATAAATATATATAATTTTATCAATTAAAATCAATTAACTAATTTTAAGAAGTATAAAATAAAGAACTGGGGCCAGCAGATGGTGTAGAGGTGTAGGTGGCTGGATCCAACATGGCTGACCATGGTTTAAGTCCTGGACCCAGTGACTTGAAAAATCACCCCAGGCATATGTGCCCAAAAATCCCAAGATGAGAATGGAGAAGGGATTGTGTCAAGACCATCCTGCAGGATGTGATTTCTCACTTTCCCTCTTGCCCTTTCTCTCTGTCTGGGGAGCACACATGCCCTATAGCAAAAAAAAAATTTTAAAAGAACTCTATACTAGAGACATGGTAAGCACTTTTTGAAATAGGAGATGAGTTATAGATGGTCTATTCAATCAGATATATACTAGATATTACTAGTATTTTTCATATGTAAGAGAGCAGAAATACTTATACTAGGCCCTCTGAGTAAAAAATGTAGGAAACTGCACAATTGCAACTTCTGATCTATTTCTCTTTGCAGAACAACGATCACTACTTTAAAAATTTCATGGCTCTCTTTCTCCACTTGAGAATTTGGAAGCTAGATACAAGTCCCTGAAGTTGTGACTGTAGGAGGATGACATGTTACAAGCTACCTACTGCCTAAGGATCCCACTGATCTCACATTTTTAAAACTTTTAAAATGATTTGATTTTTAGTGAAAAGGTAGTTTGTTCTTTTATAATCCCTTGTTAAGAAAGGTCTGCCTCTGTTTTTAACTTCATCAGAAGTTATAATAAAATGTGCTTTCTTCTTAATGTGTTATCTATTGTTTCTGAATGCACTGTTGCAATGGTCTGAATATCTGTGCACAACCACCACCAAATTCATGTGTAGAAATCTACTCCCCAGTGTGATAGTATTAAGAGATGATAGGGACCAGCAGATGGCTTAATGGTTACGTCACTGGACTCCCATGTAGTTGACTGCAGTTCAAGTCCCAGACCCAGTGACTTAAAACACACCAGGTGTGTGTGTTTGTGTGTGTGTGTGTGTGCCCAAGATCCTAAGAGGCGAATGGAAGACAAGGGACTGCAGGGTGGCCAAAGCCCCTGGGGGGTGATTTATCACTTTCTGTCCCTCTGGCATTCTCAGTCTCTCTGGCCAGCACATGTGCCCTATAGCAAAAATCTCTCTTTAAACAAACAAACAAAAAAAGATGATTACATTATGAAAATGGAAGCCCTCATGAAAGGAATTAGTGCCCTTACAAAAGAGGCCCAAGAGAGTCCTGTTAGCCCTTTCTACCATATGAGGACACAGTGTAAAGGAGCAATCTGTGAACCAGAGAATGAGCTCCCACCTGGCACCAGTTCTGACAATGCTGTGATCTTGGGCTTCCCAGCCTCCAGAACTGTGAGTAATAAACTTTCATTGTTTATAATCCATCCAATTTATGGTATTCTCAGTATAATAGCCCAGACAGTTGTGCCATAGTAAATGAATAGGTGAATGTACATGTAATATGGTAATTTTTATATGTAACTGTAATCACATCATGAGATACAAGTTTAGAATTTGAACACGTGAATTATAGGATGACACAATTCCGGTCATAACACATACCCATTATCTATCCGAGAATGATTAATCTTGCTCTCAAATGTGTCTTGATGGTATCACTGGGAGGCTAAGACCCAGTATCTCTGGACTAAGATTTCTAGCTACCACTTACCAGTAATCTGACTGCAGGGACAGAGACACATCCTATTCTCTCCAACCAAGTTGCTCTCACCTGGAAGAAGGAGTTGATTTTCTGGTTGTTTAAACTGCTAAGACCTTCATTGGATCATATTTATGAGTTAGCATAGCCACTGCTCATTAAGGGAATTTAGGCTTCTGTATGTAGCATGTTTCTTGTACTTTCTGCTTCTAGAGATTATGGAAATCTAAGCAGGACTTGACAAAATGTCGCCCTTTATAACCTTACTGAGGGCCCTCTTTAGTCCCGGAATTCTGTTCAGATGATTCTCTGTATAGATATTTCCTTATATATGATTATCTTTCAGACGTGGGTAAAGGGTACGAGACCCTGGGTTATGATTTCTAGTTACAGCCTCATTTGCAAAGTTAGCTTCTAGCAAAAGAACTATATTAAAGATTTTCTTTTTTGTCAATGACATAGCATTTAGTGAAATGATCTCTTTCAGTTTCTCCTAAATACAGGGATTTTTCAGCCCAGTAGCAAGAATGGATGTTAAGGCAAAAAGGGGCATTATCAATTCTTCAATATAATTTCATCAAAATCCTGTAAAAAAACATCTCACTATTGACAGTATTTTTTTAACAACATCAATAACATCCTTTACCAAATTTCCTCATTTGTAAAAGGGGTAGAATATCACTTATCCCCTATCTAGTTTGGGGGACCAAATAAGGTAACTAAAATACCTGCTTCACTGAAGTTAGTTCATGCCATTGCTGTTTCAACAACCCTTGAGCCTCCCTTCTCTAATCTCATCCAAACAAGTTGTAAAGACTGGTTGGCCTAGATCAGGGGTCTTCAGATTGTTCTGAGCACCTCCCCAAAATGATTTTGTACTCTTGCTCATTTTTAAATTCACATCTAAAATTTTTTATAAACTTAGGTAAGACTGTTTATCAGGATATTTTAGTCAGGATAATTAATCCTTACTGCTGTGACAATAAAAATCTCTGTGGCCTAAGACAAAACAAGTTTTTCATTCTGAAGTTCGATGTGACTCGAGGGGCTCTCTTTTGAGGGGTTCTCCATAACTAGGGTAAATGCTCATTTTCCACTCTGTGGCTTGATTACCATAGAGTTCTTCACTTCTAGTGCTCAGACATGAGAGAGAGACCAGAAAATCACACAGCACTTTGTATGACCAACTCTAAAAGTAGCATACACATTGTTCACTTCTTTAAGCCAAGCATGTCACGTGAACCCAAAATAACTGCAACAAAGACTGGGAAATGCAGTCTTCTTATATAGCCAGTATTTTCTTTTATTATCATGTTCCTAAACAGAAATACCTGAAACTGGGTGATTATAAAAAATAAGGTTTATTAGGGCTGGCAGGCGATGTGGTGGTTAAGGGTGCTGGACTCCCACATGGCTGACTGCAGTTCGAGTCCTGGACCTGGTGGCTTGCTTTCTCACTTTCTCAATCTCTCTCTCTCTTTCTCTGTCCATATCTGGTCAAATTAAAAATAAACAAATAAAGTTAAATAATTCTTGGGAAGAAAGGTTTACTTGGCTTATGATTCTATTGGCTGGAAAGTCTAAGAGCATGTACCAGGCATCCGGCCAGCCTCTCGTACTAATTCACAACATAGCCAAGAGAAGCAGGCAAGTCAGCAGGCATGTGCAGAGAGACAAAGAAAGAGGAAACAGACTTTTCATCTGTTTGTCCTTCCCATGTTCCCAGCTGGCTAGATGGTGCCTGCCCATTAGGCCCACCTCTTAAAGGTCTCACCACCTCCCCAAGCCGTTACGCTGAAGACCAAGCTTCCAAAACATGAAACTTTGGGAGACAACCATTATCCAAACCATATCACCTAAGAAAAACAAAAGGAATTAATAAGCATTTGACCAGTCTCTCAAAATAATCACTTGCTTTCTGTCTCCATCTCTCTTTGCCTCTTCAGCAAACACACACACCCTATAGCAAAAATCTTGCAAAAAAAAAAAAAAGAAAGAGGATAGAATGTTAAATACTTTATAAGACAAAATAATATAAGGATTGACTATATTTTGAATTAGTCACAATACAATTTTATTTTAAAAGATTTTAACTATGTATTAATACACCAATAGGTCTGTTTCCTCTTCCTCTGGCTCTCTCTCTGCACATGCCTATTAAGACATCAATCTCAAAAAATTAGATCCAACTTTTTAGGTCTTGAAAATTTTTAGTCTTTAAATTTCTCTCTTTTTTTTTTGTAAAATCATTTTGGGCCCAGCAGATGGCATAACAGTCATGTCACTGGGACTCCCACATGGCTGACCATAGTTCGAGTCCTGGACATAGTGGCTTAAAATTCATACCAGGCGTGTGTGCGTGCGTGCCCAAGACCCTAAGAGGAGAATGGAGGAGAAGCGATTGTGGCATGGCCATTCCCCCTGGGGGGGATGATTTCTCACTTCCTCTCTCACTGTCTCTCTCTCTCTCTTCCCAGCAGGTACATGCACCCTAAGGCAAAAACTTCTTTTAAAAGTGAACAAATAAATAAAAATCATTTAAAAACTATTTCTCAATGAGCCCAGTCATGGTGGCACAGGCACAGGTGGTAGGGCACTAATGTGTGCTACTAAAGTCATACAGAAGATATGGGTTTGGATCCAGGATCAACCTGTACATTCCAGAGCACCTGCATGCACCTGTGGCCCTCACTGGCTAGAAGGCTGGAGGGAGTATTGCAGCATGGCCAAATTCTATTATGAGTAATTATCTCTCAGAAGAAAAAAGAGGGAGGGGAGGGGGAGCAAAGAAAAGAAGAAAGGAAGGAAAGAAGGAAGAAAACATTAAGAAAATTTTTTTCAATTAAAAAAACATTTTTTTAATATTAAAAAGAATGAGCCTCAGAAACCTATATTTCTTTGACCATTCTAAATTAAAAACATTTTTTCATGGTGAAACTTCTTTACTTGTAATATTATACCCTTAATAGAATTATACAGAAGATGAAGAAAGGTCCGGGGTCGCAAACTATAGCCTGAGTAAAGTTTTACTGAAACACAGTCACACCCAGGTATTTACTGATAGCCGCTTTTGAAAGACAACAGAAGAGCTGAGGAGTTGCAAAAGAAACCACAAAGGAAAAAATATGTACCACCTGGCTGTATAGGAAGGTTTCCTGGGCCAGCCAGAAGGTGTGGTGGTTAAGGCAGCTGGATCCCATAGGGCTGATGGTGCCACTGGAGTCCCAGACCCATGCTTGAAAAACACGCTGGACGTGTGTGTGTGTGTGTGTGTGTGTACGTGTGCGCAAGCGCGCATATGCATGCCCAGAATCCCCAGAGGAAAATGGAGGAGAAGGTATTGTGGTGTGGTCATCCCCCCTGAGGTTGCTTTCTCACTCTCTCTCCCTCTCTTCTTTCTCTCTCTCTCCCATCTCTCTCTTTTTCATCAGTGAGTGCCTGTGCCCTATATCAAATTAAAAAGAGTAGAAGTTCTGACTCTGTTCTTGAATCAATATTTCAGTTTCTTAATCTGGCAAATTTTTTTGTCATCCATGACATCAAATAATAATTTGGGAGGTGTGAGAAATACGCCTATATTGTATAAAATACAAGAGGGATACTGGGATGGGCAGCAGGTGGTGTGGTGGTAAAGGCACTGGACTTCCACATGGCAGACTGAGGTTCAAGTCTCAAGTCCCAGACCTGGCAGCTTTCTCTCTCTCTCTCTCTCTCACTCTCTCTCTCTCTCTCTCACACACACACACACATACACATTCCCTGTAGCAAATAAAAAGAAATAATAATAATGACAAATAAAATTAAATAATTCTTAAAAAAAAAAAAAAGAATATTGGGAACCCCTGACTGCTATTTTTCCTCATCTTATGTATATTTCTCTGAAAGGTCAGTGTTTAGAAGAAAAATACATAGAAGTTCAGATTCTGGAAATTAATTGTGTTAAAATTATCTAAGCATGCACTTCTGAAAAATCTCTGCATACACTTGGAAGCACAGATATTCTAATATGAAAACCACTGGCCTAGATGAAATCCATTCATGGCAATGAGAGCCCATAACCTAC